AGAAAATGTTTCTATACATCATACCGTGAATATTGCCCTATAACTAATCTTGAGCACACATTAAAGCCTCCAAAGTTTTGGGGTGAAGTCTATTTCTGTGTGGACTAACAAATCTACCACTAGTATTGAAAGCAAATTCGGATGCCACAGTAGATACTAAGATGGCCAAAATATCTTTTGTAATTCGAGATAAAGTCGGATATTTGATTGAATTCACTTTCCACCATGTCAACATATCAAAATCATCCGACCGAGGCAATATAGGCTCATCCAAAAAAGTATCAAGCTCGGTTTTCACAATACTAGGAGCTTCAACATTATAAACAAATTTATAAAAATCCGTCGTGCGATCTGATTTATTATTAGCACTTGACGTCTCGGTTTGACAAGAAGAAGTAGAAGACTGAGCTAAAAACCCACTTAAATCGTTCTTTTTCTGATAATCGTGCACCAACTTGCTACAAACTTGATATATTTTGTCAATCTCACTTGCAGCATTGTGATTAAAAATACGAGAATAATAAAACTTAACTAACATCATCTTATACCTCGGATCCAACACTGTTGCTAAAGCCAAAACTCCATGAATATCGCTTCAATACTTATTAAACTTTAAAAGACTATAGTTCGACCCAAACAACACCTAGAGGGGGGGTGAACAGGTGTTTATGCGGATTTTAACAATTCAATCAACGTATGCAACAAGTCACATAAATTAAACTTTGTCCAGATTCATTCACATGATTTAACTACCTATGTTGAATTTCCAATTGAATTAAAAATGACAGAAAGCAATAAATAACTCAACAAATTGTTGACGGAGAAAACCCAACTGGGTAAAAACTCCGGGCACAAGCCAGTAGGGATTCACTATAGAAGACTTCAACTTACAGTACGCCAGACATGATTGTATCTAACAACACTCTGACCTCCTTATTGTATCAACCAAAGCTCTCCTGAATTCTGCAGATCTGCGCCAAAATCCCAGCCTTGTTCTTCTTTTATTTCCCGTGAATCAGCAAGAACTCCAGTTCTTCAATCAATCTCCTTCCCGGATCTTCAATCAGTCGATCTTCTGGAAATAGTGAGGATTTTTTAAAAGTGTTTTGTTTTAAGAGGTGTTTGATGTTTTTCTTCAATAAGATATATGATGAAAAGAAGGAATTATGAAGTTGATCCTTTGGTTGAGAGGAAAAATATTTCAATTATGTTTTTCCAAAAGTTGTGTATGAAAAACAGGACTTTTGAATATATATATGATGTCATTTTTGGTAGTATGGAGCGTCTAAAAATTGCAAGGAAGGAAAATTATCAAAAGCCGAATAGCACTGTCGCTCGAAACTCTAGCGACGCACTTTCGCTCGAGCGAAGCAGTGGCAAAACTCTAGCGAGATAGGTTCTGTTATTTACGCTCGAGCGAGGTCAGAGCGAAACTCTAGCGTGATCTTGCGTCGTTTTCATCTTCAAGGCACCCAACTTTACCCTAGACCTATACCATAATTTTGCTAAATTGCAACACAAGTCCCTGAACTTTTAGACCTTTACAAATTAGTCCTTGACTTTACAAACTTGACAAATTGGTCCTTTTGGTCACAGGTTGCCAATTATAACATTTTCCTAACAAAACTTTTCTATCATACTGGTTGCCATCATTTGAACTTTCACATAAGGAGATTCAAGCTACTCATACAACGACAGTTTGATAACACAAACATTTACAAAGAAGATATTAGCAGTTGGATACTTTGTTCTTGAAAACAATTCAGTAACCTAAAACAAAACCTTTAACTTCTCACATATTTCTTTTTCTAAATCTCAATCACCATCACTAGGGAAACATTTATATCTTAACTCTATCTGTTTCAAACACGAAAAAACATCATTATAAATCAAAGCAGTACTAAGCATCAAATACGTCGAGTTCCACCTTGTTTTACAATCAAGCACCAATTTTTCTCACAATCAATTTTCAACTAACGTGCAAAGAGTTCAAAATTTTCAGATCTCTTTGGCGTGGCTGTCCAATAAGAAATACTATCACGAATTTTCTTAACACTACCACTAATAATGTACAACCCATCCTTCACAATAAGATTTAATATATGTGCACAACATCTCATATGAAAAAATTCACCATTCAGTACAAGAGAACGAGTACAAAGTTGACTTAATACAATACTGATCATTGCATCATCTGTGGTGCAATTATCTACCGTCAAAGTTAGTAACTTACAATCAATATTCCAGTCCATCAAGCTGCTTAATAAAGTTTCTGAAAGCACATCAGTAGTGTGTGGACACGGCACATATATAAACCTAAGTTCATTCAAGAACAAATTAAATCAACTAAAAGAATATCATTTTAGTAAATTATAAGAACAAGTGAATGTAATGTTTTACTATACCTCATGATTCGACTCTGTAATTTTCACGCATCATCTATGAAATGAGCAGTGATAATCACGAATCCTCTCTTTTGATTAGAAGAGGTCCACATATCGGTAGTGATCGAAATTCTACTCTCGATCTTCTCAAGTGCAATCATATTTTTGGCTCTCTCGTATTCATAGATTTTCAAAACGTTGATCTTCAAAGTGCCGTGAGAAGAAACCTTAAACAATGATTGTAGGTCGTGCAAGAACTCTCGAAATCCAATGTGATCAACCATAGATAAAGGATACTCATCCAAAATCATCATTTTCAAAAGACTATATCTACACTTATCTGTATCGAAAGAGTAAGTACCCATTGTGACCTCGCCACTTGTGGCATCCTTTTTGAAATTTAATGTTGCTTGGTGAGTATTATCCTTATAACGGAGTACACATCTCTTCAAATGATCGTGCAAATGCTTTGTACCATTTTTTGTTTCACCCCCTAACTGTTTCTTGCAATGATTGCATATAGCCTTTCATTTCTCACCAATTTTCTGTCTTTTGTAGTGCTCCCACACA